GTTAACTTTGAAATAAACTAAAAATCATTCAATTTTTAATTAATCACAATTTTTGGAAAATTTTGGAATAGAAAGGATTTGTTGCCCTCAATTCTTATGTATTATCAAGATACCTTCACTTTTATCATTCTTTAGTCTGACTTTTACACTTATTTTTACAATAATTTATAACTTTTATAATTCAACTTTTAGATTTTAATTTTTAACTTTTAACCTTTAATATTTTTTCTTTTATTTTTTTCTTTTACTTTTAGCTTTTACTTTTAGCTTTTATTTTTAGATTTTACTTTTTAATTTAATCTTTAATTTTTTTATTTTTACTATGGATTTATAATAGTAATTTCTAATTGCTTTTACTATTATTTATTTAAAGAATAATAATTTATAAATTTTAATTAATTAATTATTTATTTACTCTAATTAATTATACTTTTATAATTAGATAAAAATTAATAATAAGAACTATATAAATGATCTTGAAAAAACCATTGAGATTTAAGTATAGATCATGCAAATAGCCTTGAAGACCATAATAATTTCATTATTTTTTTATTTTTTATTTTTTATTTTTTTATTAATATTGGTAACCATTGTTTGGAAGGCTTAAAGTTATTTGATATGCTAATACTAAGATTTAAATCAACTTGGTAATTACATAATAAAAACTTCTTCCTTTCCATCTCTTGAACTAGTTGTGTGGCTTCAATTTCATTGAGTGGTGAAATTTGGGCTTACAATCCAAATTTGCCCTTCTAAGACATTCTTATCTTGTATCAAAAGAAAGAGATGCAGCTTTTGATCAACAAAGGAGAATTTTATTGAATCTAAAACAATTTCATCTCTGAGTAGTGAAATCAATATTAATTATTGATTCAACTTTTTTCAAGCAAATTCAATTAAGTATGTCCTTTGATCCTCTTGTTTATGATATCAAAAATACTTCTTTTAAGTTTTGTAATACTTCTAAGTTCAAATTCAAGAATAATCTACTTTATTTTGTAAGACGCCTACATGTTCGAAAAGAAAAAGCATGTTTATATGTTCTTTAAGCATATCATGACTTTCCAACAACATAATATTTTAGATACAAGAAGACTTTGGAGCTAATATTCAAAGATTTTTTGTAGCTGTAAATGTAGAAGGCTATAAAAGACTTTGTTGAATCATATGATATTTGTTTAAGGTCAAAAATTCCTTGTTATTGACCTTATAGTCTTCTTCAACCATTACTTATTCCAGAACAATCATGGTCTTTTATTTCTATGGATTTTATCATAGATCTTTCAATCTCAGATTTGTATGATTCTATATTTGTGATAGTAGATTGTTTTACTAAAATAGCATATTTTGTACCATGCACAAAATCTATCAAAGGTAATGAAACTATCTAGCTTTTTCTTGACAATATCTATTGATATTATGGATTGCCAAAAGATATTATATTAAATAGGGAGACTCAATTTGTATCAAGATTTTGGAGAATTCTTTTTAAGTTTTTAAAGGTAGACATAAAAATTTCTTTGGCCTTTCATCTTCAAACTGATAGATAGATAGAGCATGTAAACCAAATTTTGGAGCAATACTTAAGATATACCAACAATTATCAATAAGACAATTGAATAACCCTCTTGTTATTGGCAAAGTTTGCTTATAATAATACGATGCATTCTTTTATGCAACAAATATTTTTTTTACTAATTATGATGTCACAAACATACATATTTTTTTTTTAATAATTATCTAAATAATAAGAATAGATAGAAGTAAGTCAAAGTAGATAAATATGATAATATCTTGTGGAAAGCTTCCTAGAAGCTTTATAGACACTGCTTTGTCTTTATACACGTTTATATGTGATTGATAGGTTGAAAACTTGGCCAACAAGGAGGCCACGTGTCAACATATTGACCACTTGTAGTACAAGTTGGATATGTATTAGAGGTCCCATAGTATGTTACCACATAATTCTTAGTTAAGTAGTATATATAGAGGCAAGAATGATGCCTTTTTTTATCTTGTCAATTCTTTTTTTGCTTTTAGTTTAGTTTCAAGAGTCTTATGTTTTCTAATCTTTGCCAATAGTAATTCCAATTCTTCCTTGAATATACATACTTTCTTCTATTTTGTCACTTTTTTTTTGACTCAGATTTCATGAGTTTATGTATCTTCTTTTGTTTGCGTCTTTGTGATATGGTTATCATCTATGATTTTATACTTTTGACTTTTCAAAAGTTTTTAATCTTGTGATAGAAGATTTGGCTAATTATTTGTAAGAAACTTATATAACAATAAGGATGCAATTAAAGGAAGCTAAAAAATGACAAAAGATCAATGTAGATGCTTATCAAAAGGAACAACCATAATTTAATGTAAGTGAGAAAGTATGGTTATTTTGTCGTAACATGAAGACTATTCATCTTTGTAATAAATTGGACTATTGTAAGCTTGGACCTTTTTTATTTATAAATAAATCAATCTAGTTGCTTATTAATTATATCTACCAAAGTCAATGAAGTTCCATCTTATATTCTATGTATCTTTTTTTGATCTATACAAGACTATGAACATACAAAAAAAGACAAGTCCTATGTCTTCCTATAGAGATAGATAATAATAAAGAATTTGAAGTGAAAAAATTCTAGAATCAAGGCAACATCAAAATAAGTTGAAATGTCTTGTCTATTGGCTCAGATATAATATTAGTGAATGCACATGGGAGCTAACAAAAAATCTTATAAATGCACCAAAGAAGGTTATAGCTTTTAATCGAAAATATCTATCAAAACTAAGATAAAGGATAGGAAACCTTTGTTGTAAAAGAAAAATAATTCAAGAAAGCTTGCATTCTACCTTCTATCCTTGTTTGTAATTTCTATATAATTATAACATTAAAGAGATGGAGAACCAATAACTAGTGGATTCAATTCAAAAACCACCATTTGTTGACTTACTAAATGAGACATTAAGATTACACAGCCTTCAAGATGACATAATAGGGATGAAGACCTTCAAGAACAACATATTCTTCTTTAAATAGATGGCAAGATACAATGCATTTGCTATCACGACCTAAGAAAAGGCTCTCAATGTTTGGTGATTTTATTAGATGTAAGCACAATTCCTAATGGTGTTACATGTTTTATTTGAAAGAAGTTATGAAGGTTTCAACAATGATCAAATTACAAGGTGGTCTTTTTGTCCTAGAATGGAACATTATCAATGGTTGAGAGAACTTATCAACTACTTTCAAAAGAAATAAAGATTAAAGTATGTAGAAAATACAATTTATTGTATCTTAAATTTTTTGATCAAAAAATAATACTTTTTGGAGGCATATTAGATCTTTAAACTCATATTTCTTGACAAAAAAAAAATTAAAAGAATGCTTTCTACCACTTTTTTGATAAATTTTTGAATATCTTTTATACTTTAATAATTTTACAAAGAAAATTAGAAGCAATCTTAATCATATATTTTATTAATGCTAATTCTTGGTAGTTTCTAATTTTATCCTATAATAGAGTCTTAAATATTAATTATAAATTGACTATGTAAAACTTATGATTCTTTTACTTGTATTGCTTGAGTGTTGGTTAATGTGGCTTAGGCACAAAGTTGAAGTTTAGCACATCATGTCTCTTCCTTGGCTTATTAGCTTTCTTCTTTAAAGTCTTTTATTTATATCTTTATTATTTTTTTTTCTTTAACATATACTATCTTAATTAATGATTTGAGTATTTGGATCTAATTTTTGAATATATTAACTAAGGTGGCTATTTAAGCCATTATATCAAATAATTCAAAATAAATATTTTAAAGATGGTTTAATATTACTTGAGCAATATCAAATAATTTAGTAAGAATTACAACTATGATCAATATTGGCCACGGCTTAGAGTATCAAGTTGAAGAACATTTGAATCTACAGCAAAACATATATCTTTGTGATAGCTATTGTTAAGATCTTTATTCACAACTTATTGATTTTTTTGGGTAGCTAGGATGAAAAATAGAGATTAGAAACACAAATACCTATTAGTGTCAAATATCTTATATTTTATTAAACTCATATCTTTCTTTTTAGTTGGTAATAAGGTTTAACCATCATCTCTAATATCTCCTTCTCACTTTTAAAGAATTGGTTATTTTCATTATTATTCAATTAATATACCAACATTATTGTTATCAAAAGAAGATTTTACTTATTAGATTTTTTTAAAATCATATTTTCTATCTTAAAAGATATCTTCTTACTTTTAAAAGGTTGGTAATTTTTTTAAAATCATACTCTTTAGATCATTTTTCCTACCATATCCTTATTATGGAACTATCATAGTATTTTCTATAGTAGTCTATTATAGACATAAATTAGGAAAAAAAATAAGAAGACAATATACTTATGTATTATTATTAAAAAAAATAGACATTAGATAAAATGGAATTAGAATGAGTATTTTCAAATACAAAGAAATTAAAAAATCTTGAACCAAGATTGAAATGTAAGAAAAGTCTTAATAAGATAAGATTAAGAATAACCTAAGTCTTACCTTCATATATACTAGCAACCAAGAAGGTTTTATAGAAGCTTCTTATGGACCACAAGGCTTGTGAACTAAGCACAATATATATTATATATATATATATATATATATATTATATTTTTTAAAATTTTGATTTAAAATTTTGATTAAGTTTTAATTCTCTTCAACTTCACAACATTTAGATTCCTTGTGAATATGTAAAACAAAATTTTAGTGATTTAATAGACTTAAAACCACCAAATTTTGATTTTTTTTTAATTTTAAAAATGGCATTTTAAAACCGTACTGCAAAATTCTATTTTCTTTTTAGAAGCAATTGAACTTGCCAATTCCTTAGTTTACACGTAATCCAAAATAAAAAAAGAGCAGGGCGAAGGAAGATGATGAAAGAGAAAGAGGGGGGGTTGGGATTTGTGTAGGGGGATGAACTGATTAAGCGGGTGTGAGTGCCTGGGCCCATGCCCTGCCGGGACTTTCTCCTTACTCCCTTCCTCCCCTCCCCCGCTCCTCCTCATCACCCCCCTGGTTTGTGTATGTTCCATGCCTGCCTTGGCAACAAGGGTACGAGGAGTGTCGCCTTCAGTGCAGGATCTTCCATCCTATACTATTCCAAAGGATCCTCCTCATCATCCTTCCCTGCCCTCCCGCAACCCTCCCTCCCGCTCCTCCTCCTCCTCCCTCTTTGTTTGTTGATCGGTGTTGCTGTGCTTCGCCTTCACGCCCACTCTACCCTTCTCTCATTTCGTTCCCCGTCCATTCCCCTTCTCCCCACTTCCATCTTCACACACATTTCTTGCTCTCGTGCCTGCGTGCCTCTAAACTTCCCCTCTCCTCCGTAATGACCACTCCCTCGTCCCTGCCTTCCCCTGCCCAAGCCTTGCCCCCACTCTCCCGGATTGGTTCCAACTTGCCCTCTGATCCCGACGACTCTGACCTCGACTCTTCCTTCTTCCTCGTCTCTGGCTCCCCGGAATCCCACGACGACTGGAGCGATGACCACCTCGATTCCAACGACGATTCCGATCACCATGCCCACTCCTCTGATTCCGAGGATACAACGGCTGCAGGGACTTCCAAGCCTAAGAACCACCCTCACAAGAAGCATTCTTTTAATTCCGCATCTGACTATCTCTCCTTCTTTATTGCGCTTCGCAAGGGTTTTTGCTCTCGCAATTTGGACGACAGGTACAATCCCACCGGCCATAACATCAACGTTGTTATTACTAGGTTTCTCATTTCTAATCACCAAGACATCATTAGGTATCAGCTCAAGCATCAGTAATCACCTATATCGTCTAATCCACCTAAAATGCTCCAGAAGCCCTGTTAACCTAAGTATCTGGATTATTAATGTTTGCGAAATTAAATTACATATCTCAACAGGCTTTATGGAGCTCGTGGTATTCAGCATTTATTCTATTATCAAGAGACCTACCTTGTGCTCAATCTTAAAATACAAGACCTTCACATCTTGTGACCCGTATAAATACCGTGGTTTAGTAATCTGTAGGATTCTCATCTTCACACCTATTGGGAGGAATCTTCTTTACAAGTGATTTAAATCTGTGGACCTCCTAAGTTTGAACTACTCCTGCGCAATTTAACATTATACGCACACCTTACCTGCTGTTTGTTTGACTCTGTTGTCGGTTATAGGTCGGCCTAATCACGTGTCGTTTGCTGCTCCAAACATTCTGCCAGAATTGAAATTTATAAATCTCACAATTGTGTCGACAAAGTCAATTCATCTGGAGGAGGTGATTCAGCACAGCAGAAATGGAAAAAAACTACCAAAGCTGGAGTAGGCGGTGCCAGTGAAGGGACTTGCAGCTATCGGGACTTCGAAGTGTACACTCATAAAGATCATGAGGATGATTCCTCATTCAGTGCAATGTTCAAGTGTACCGCAACGGACATTCCCAAAAACCTCCTCAAAAGAGCGAGTCTCTTAGGAAACTCTGACGAACAGGTAATATCTTCACGGTTGGTGGCCGAACATGTTGATTCGTACTCGTATAATTTTGCTGTAGACCTCCGTCTGATACTGAGATCTTGTGGAATATGATCCCTCGCACTGTCTTGATTTTATGTGATTTTTTCACTCAGCATTTGAAAACCTAGTCCAATTATTCGAGGGCACGTTACTATGGCATTAAATCATGTTAATTAATTTCCCACATAGATTTGATTATGGTAAGAAACTTATGAAGTGAAGTTTCTGCAAACTTTTGAGCTGTTTGAATTCGACCTTGTTCAAGCATATTATCCTGGTTTATGTGGCGCAGCGCATGGACGCGCACAAAGTGGATGCTGAGGCCGTGAATGAGAGTGACGAGAACAAGAATGGAAAGGAAGACAGTCAGAAATCTGAGAAGGAAAACGTTGAAATGACAGTGGTCTTAAAGCGTGATGTGAAAGCTCATCTACTGAAGTTGGCAGACGAGCTGCGATTACTACAAAATCCCTGTAAGGATTTTACTCACCAAGAATATGAGGACATCCATGTAGAAATAGGGCTCTCTGATTCACAGACAAATTGTGCAAATCAATCCAAGCTAAGGAACGAGAATTTGAAGTCTATAGAGGACGAACAGATTAGCAGCCACAGTGTAAATTCTGATAAGCAAAGCTGTTGGCGGGAATCCGATTCTAAATGTCAGCACGGCAAGAGTGATTGGAAACATGCTGTGCCAGGTGTGAAACCAACTCTTTTTCAGTTCGTGCAATTGATGAGGTTCTGCTTATTTTGGATCCCAGGTTTTCGAGATTCATTATGCTAGCTGTTATTTTTTGTCTGTCCATTTTCACTTTTATTTTTACTTTTTATAATCTTCACAATATGTCGCTTTTTGTGTTATTTCATGTACATGTGATACAGAGTTGAAGAGGAGCATCCTTTGTACCTTGCCAAATGTTGATGTAGAAATTGCTTTTGAATATTAATCTGCAGATTACTCACCTAAGTCTTTGAAAATTCAAATTCAAGCAGCGTTGATGGTACATTTCTGATTCTAAGCTATATCATTGCATTATGATAAGTCGATGAGTGTCCTCAATTACACTGTCAGAGTTGAGAGATTTCTTGCTGTGTTTTGAAGGGTGGACTCTCAATACAAAGTATGTTGTTCGTTGTACGATTTTGTGTGTGATCGCTTTGTCTCTCCAAGAAATACCAATTATCACGATGCCATCACCTTAAACAGGTGGTCAATATCCATTAGTACGCAGCGAGGTGTTTAGATCAGCTGTCATAGTTATTCTTTTAGAAGCTATATGTGGTTCTCTTAAAATTATCAAGTGTCAGTCTCTACATCTCTATTGCGGATGGTTCCTATCGTTCTGATCTGTTAAAATCACCAAATTCAAGTCCTCAAAGATTATTGTTTTGTGGCAGGACAACAAGTTAGAATCGAAAGAGAAGGGTGCTGTGACTTCGGAGAATGATTCAATTGCGCAACCTAAACATTTGCAAGAGAAATCGACTTCTCTTAGTGATGATTCAAACGAGACAGCAGAGATGACTGATGTGCGAACTTCTTTGGTTAGCTCCAAACCTAAGCTTAACACTCTTAATATTCATGAATGTTTAATATTAATCAGTGACTATTTAATTTGCAGATGCAATCAATATTACAAGCTGTTAAGTCATTTTTCTGTCGTTTATTATAGAATTGTCGGTAGGTATTATGAAGATGTTATTAATTTTTCCTCAGCATAGTTCATAGCACGTTGAGACTAGCCAAGTCAGATCACACAACACATTCTGCTGATGCAGTGCTATTTATAACATGTGAAAAATCTTCTGCACGACATGGGTTAGTGCCGTCTGTTTTTCTGGTAGATAAGTGCCGCAAGTTTATATTGTCTAGTATACGTGAGTGTCCAAAGCTATTACTATCTTGAGGGTTTGCAGTGGAGTTTCATGTTGACTTTCACGTGTTCAATTTGACCTCTCATATGTCCTTATATATTATGGGAGAAAAACATTCACTCTGTCATTCAGGAGAACAAGCGTGCTCAGTCGGAGGTATCAAGTGACGAGTTCAAGTCACAGGATGTGCCTCTTCTTCACATATACATGAAAGAGAAGCACCAACCGGAGATTGTTGCCAAGGAGCCTAAGCACAAGAGCAAGGTTCTTCTCAAACTTGGAAAAATTTGAATTGATATGTCTTGCTTGGAAATGTATCTCTAACTAAAGATTTGCTCCCATTTAGATGAAGTGAAGCAGGGGTATTAAAGCCAACTGCGATCTTATATTAAATCTTTGCAGAGTGAGAAGTAAACTGTAAACATTGATCACATTCAGTACTATTCATGATATTCTGATTTGGGCTCAAAGTATTAACAATCGAGGACTAGGGATTGGGTTTTCTATATTTCTAGTAGTACACATGCACAAACACGATTGCAGATGATGAGGGCACAGGGGATTCTGTGGCAACGCGTTGTGAGATTGTACAGTATAGGTATCAGGTAAATGGGTTCTTCTGTTCTGCTGAAAATTACTTGCTGTGCAGGCTAAGAAGGTTAAAGCCTCAAAAAAGAAGAAGCTACATCTGTTCCGAGATGGTTTTACCCTTCCTTCAGCAACAAAGCCCGTTGGAGATGCCAATTCAGCTCAGCTAATTGCTGGATTTGGAAATGAAGTTCAAGCTTCTAATGCCACAATCAAAATTCCAGTAATTTTTCAATTTCGTTGTATAAAGTTGCTTTACTACGAATGCAATTTCTTCCAATCCAGTTCCTTATGCCTCTCATGCTTAGGTGGTTTTGTACTAACAGATATTAAAGTCCAATTGTGCTGGTTTGAGTGGGTGAATGTGTATTTACCTCATGCATCAGAATCACCTATCTAACTATTATCGGCTGCCGTTGATGACATGATAAATTTGCATGACGTTATAGCATTGTTTGCACTGGTGTTAAAACATTCATTGCACAGCCGAGCATATATTCTCAGTTGTATTTCCAGTTTGTGTAGTATTTTTTCGAATCTACAAAATTTGGTGTTAGGATATCCGCTGTTCCATGACAATGTCATCTCTGCCCTGGTCTCTTAGATTTCGAGGGAAGTTGCGGCAACTGCGGATGATATGCAATCACCAACTAAAGATAAGATGCAGAGTAAGTGGAACATTAATCCTATGGCACATTCTGGTTTTGGTTAGCCTACACAGGTCTTTTCGGAACCGCAGAGCGAAAAAATAAGATTCTCAATAGGGAAAGCTACTATTAGTCATTTCTAAGTCTCAATTCATTGCTACTTTCTGTTGCTTTCTACTTACAAGTCATGTATTTGGATACTACCAGTCAGTGCCAAGAAGAAGGTCGCCGAAGTTATTCTGGGAGACACAACTGAACTATTATCTTCGTCAAAAAGTACACCTACACGTGTTCATCCTATCAAAGCTCGAGCCACAGATGCAAAAGCGTACGACTTTACTCGCGCAGTTGATGTCTCACAAGATGCACTTACGATAGGTCCATCACCTTCTCTTGCCAACAACCTGAGCACGGGAGAAGGGGATTCAACGAAGATACCTGCCACGGAAGGTCGACACCGGGACCAAACATATCAGGGAGCTCAGAATGCTGGATATTCCGAAGAGAAACATGTGAAAGCGATGCTTACACCAACGCTTCCTCAAATATCAAGCAGAAGGTGCTTTCCTCTTTCAGATGTTGGTACTGATACAACATCTAAACTTGCCACAACTTTGAACGAATCTCTCTTGGTGCCAAACCGATCAGTTGCCAGCTCTCTTGCCTCCACAATAAGCCATCCTATGAGCTTCTCTTCAGACGAACCAGAATCCAACTCTGAAACCGTCGGAATTATTCAGGGAATTTTGACACCTGTGGGCAACACCATTAGCACGGCCGGTCCTACACAATCCTCTTTTGTTGAAACACCCTTGACTTCGTATCGTTCAGGAAAAAGAGTTAGGACTGCTGCAGCAGCTTCATCCTGTCCCAGAATGTCGACTACGGATACCAGGAATTCCCATAATTCTAGATTGGTGCAGCAGCCAGTTTCTCAGAATCAAGCCCACGCTTCTAACTCTGTACCAACACTGCCATTGCAGCTGGATATCAACCCTCCTGCTTGGTTCAACGCTGATGGCAGAGCGAACGGCAACTTCCCGCGGGTTCAGTCAGGGACAAATTCTAGGCCCGGTTTCCCATTCCCAGCCGTTTCAACTACTTCACCATTTTATGGCCAGGTAACCGCGGCCTTATATCTTCAGAACTCTGATGCTTTGGTAACAGTTGTATGTGGTATTCTGAAGTCGGCGCTCGTCAGGCACACGTACACAGCCGGAGTTGGGCATTGAGGTGTGCCATCAGAGCATTGTGATTCTGTACATGATGTCGCCAGTCTGATTCGTGAGAGCAGAGTTGAACGAGAGAGAGAGAGAGAGAGAGAGAGAGAGAGAGTAGATGCTTACACGTTTGCATGTTGAGCGATGAGACAGGGGTCGTCTGCGATTTCTGGGAGACTAGCGACTTCGGCAGCAGATGACGTATCCAAAGGTGAAAACTACATGCACTTCGATTACAACATATGTTGTTTTGATGCACCGTTCCATGAATGATAGTAGCACGAAAGACCTATTGTAGGTGCTTCTTCTGAAGGATCTGAACGAAGATGCCTTCACCCTCCTGGAGCAGAAAAGAACTTAATGTAGCCCAGTTTCCTTCCAGTTTCTAGTTAATTTCACGACTGTTAGTTGTTACGTAACTGCATGTCTGCTGTACAGACAGCTGGAGTAATCTACGTGCTAATGTTCCAGAAAGTGGTCAAGTGAATGTACCCCTCGAACCTGTGTTGCCATTGGCAACAGCACAACTGTTTTCTTTTCCATCTTCAATAGACAACGGTGGAGTAAAATCTGTTTGGCCAGGCGTTACTCCAACTGGGTTCGCAAGAAAATTGCCTGAGCAAACGGCAGCGCCATCTCCCATGGTTCTTTGGCCGCATCTATATCCCAGAGTAAGCATCTTTTCGATTCGGATTCGATGATGTGTGCATGAAGCAACGTAATTCCAAATCCGTCTCGTTCACAGATGATTAAAATGATCAGAATTGCAAAGTGGTGCACTAGCAACTCTGCAACCCATCAGTACGAGTAGGTGTAATAGATAATGTTTCTCTGGTTTCAGTGTAGATCTCTCTACTAAAGATTGAGATCACTGATACAAGCTATTTTGAGATGCAGTCATCTTCTACTGACAACGCCAAAGCAAGTACCCTGCACATGGAGACTGGAGAAGGTAACAACCCTCAATCTGATATGGGTGCAAGACTGGATTCCGAGTCAGAGGTGCTAAGCTTTTCACCACTTCCTGAATGTGGAGTTCGAAGCACAACACAAAGGCCGAAACTAGCGTACAATCCACTAGCTGCAGAACAGGATCGGCAACGACAACTTTTAGAGGCGTTAAAGCCTCCAGGGTGGTCGACATTGTCAACTGAACATGATTTTCATCAGAACATACAGTATGGAAACAGTCAAAGGTTACAGGACAACCAATTTTTTTCTCCTGCATCATTGCCTCAAAGGTTCGAGCAACTGAAGCTCAATAATATGAATGGAGCCATGTCTTTCCAATCATCAGCAACAACTCCAACCCAGTTTCCCTTACAATATCAGGTTAGTTTCATGCCACTTACCACATGGTTATCAACATTTTGGCATCGATGGATCAGCAGCCAGTTATACGAGGCTCATGGGCGATCAGCCCTGCTTGAAACTTAGATCATGACTATCCTTCCACAAACTCGAGTATTGGGTATTCAGGAATAGTGTGGACGTCCAGGTTGGTGATCTTGGTTCTTATCCGTTATTTCACTGTGTCTGAGTACTCCTATTTTTTCCTTGTATGTGCACAGATGGACCATGCTCTTCCTGACAGCCTCAGAAACGACTTTGGTCTCACCAGGTTAGGCAGCACACACACTTTTTCAGCCAGGAAGGAAGAGCCACACTTGGTGCATCCACCAGCAACTGCCTCGGAGATGGTGACAGGAGCTGTAAACCTTGATCAATCACACCTATGCTGCTACTGCTTCACAAGGAGGGCTGAGCACCTAGTTATGGATTGCCGTGAGTTCGAGAGCCCATCTTCTGAGATTCCTAGCTGGTGAAATTCGTAAATCAAGTTTGGGTCATTTGTCAGGAAACAAACTCTGAGAATTAACACCTAGGAAACGTGTCATGTGACGCAGAACATTTAGGCCCTTGTTTGGAATGCGCGGCGAGCATGAAGATAGAGTACTGCAGGCAACCGAATTGTCTGACAAAAGTCACAAAATTGCTTCGTTATTTTCTGTGATCTTCACCACTGCACTATTGCACTCGGAGCTAAGGGCTTCGTGCAGCATCAACGGGTTATTATTGTATTACATGTCCCACCAACGGAGAAAACTCTTTCTTTTACGGGCCGGACAGTATGATCAGCTTGTGAAGTTGTGAGGAGGGTTGGCAATCGGTTTGAAAATGGTCAAACCGGTTTGGGTTTTGTTGGGTCGGTTTCAAACCGGCTGGCAGAATCCTTAGATGGTTTGGAACCAAATTGACCCCCCGTGGAGAACGGGGTTTGAACCGGTTTACAACAGGTTCTGAGGCACAAGCCTGTGTTTGTTAGTTATTTTCTACATTAAGCCTCATTGTTGCTGGATAGATCAGTGTGCAGCAGAACCGTGTGGACATGATGGAGTGATCTCTGCACATTCATCTGGCTTGTACACGAGATGACCGATCGCTTTTGGTGCTACTAATCGATCGACTTTGGTGCGGGTGTAGTTGTGAGAGAGTTGCTTCAGGTCAGGGCCGAGGATAGTGGGCGACGCAATACAAGAGATTCTCCAACACTATGTCAAAGGTGTCTTTGAAGGGTGCGATATCTGCGCCACGCTCCCCTTGGACGATTTTGCGGGGGAGATGTAGTGTTGCGGGGGAGGTGCTTGGGATACTGCAGATACGCCGTGGAGGGGTGAAATAGGACAGGAATGCAGCCAGCAACGAGAGAGTCGAACTCGGAGCGGCGAGTGGGGCTATCGCCGGGTGGTTGCATGCAGAAGTGGGATGTGAGGAAGACCTTGGTGACGTGCGCTGGTATCAACTTGTACTTGACAAATACTAGCAAGCTTTTGTGGCGTTCGCATTCTAGGAAGTAGCAGCCTCTGTGTGCTGATGCGGTGTAGCACCGTTGCGGCAACTTTACAAGTGAAATGTTGGTGCAATTGTCAATCAATTATTCATTCTGCTTCGCTTTTGTGATCTGGTGCTACCTGAAATTGTTGTGGCAAAGTTATCAATTCTTCCTGGAATTGATACAAAGATGTATCAATCTTTGCAACCGAGTATTTGTTCATCCTGAATGACAAGCGCTTTCCATTCTCGATTGGTGGCTTCTCGGATGACATGGTTCTGAACGATGAGCTTCTCTTTTTCCAGACTTGCAGGATGTGATGATGTTCCCAGGATGGATGAGGTTAGTTGGGATTTGCGGAATTCGATCACTTGACCAGGTGTGTGATTGTATAATAGATTGCAACATTTTGCAGTGAAATAGTGGGAGAAGTAAGGTCGGTACCATTTCGTCAGATCACAAACATTGCACAAGCAGTATTTGCATTGAGAATAATCATTTTGTAGTGTATTTCACCAAAATTGAAAGTTGATTTAATATTCATCAAAGTTAGAGAATGTTGCATTTCACAAATATTCAGAATTGCACGATAATTAAATCAAGGCTGAGCTTGATATTCTTTGATGATAAATCTTTGTTGAGAGAATGTGCACGTACTTTAAATTACTTCACTTAATTTCATTGAGCAATTGTTGTAAATCCCATTGTGTGTCTTAATTGAAAACAATCAGTTGCAACTATTGCATGTGCACTAATGAGATAAAATACAAGAATAACCAAACTAGGTATAAATGTTGAGGTAAATATCAAAATTTTAGTATCTTTAAATGGTGATAAGAAGTTGAAAAAATCTTCTATTGCAAATCATAGCTTGAATGGAATTTTACAACTTATATCACTAAAAAAAAAATATCACAAAAGAAGTATAGTCTTTGTGGTAATATTGAATTTGATGCAAGAATTCTTCTAATAGTTTTTTAATTACAAATAGTACGTGATACCATTGCCTATGTACTATTTTAATATGTTTCAAAATCCAACTCAAGCATCTTAATTGTTATTTTAAAACTTGTCAAAAGATCTTGTAGTTTTGAAAATTCTGCAATTTTTTTTCATCAAATCAAACAACATGCCAATAAGCACATAAAAAATGACTATTGTTTTAATTCTTTTTTCATAGTTAGTTGTAGAAAATGAGCATACCAACATTGCAATAATACAAATTAGACAATACCAATTTTGAGATAAGGTTTTAAAATTGAATGCATATCAATGATAGTTTAAAGATTATTATGTAAAGAATTCATCAAGGATAGATGAGTGATGACATTATTAGCAATGATTATCCACATTAATCTAAGAAGAGTCGATTAATGTTTAAAACTATTTTAATAAAGTGAAAAACTAAAAATTTAATAGAATGTGGATAGAATACATAGATAAAACTTATAATAACAAATATATGCTCTAAACATCAATAATGTAGTATAAAGTTACAAACACGTATTTTTGCTTTGCAAAAAACGTTTACATCGGTCCAACTCATGCATCAATTGACCAATTTTTTCTTCAATTAGCTCTTTTAATTTCAACAACTTCATAAAACAATTTTAAATTTTATTATAAATTGAAATTAGATACTTTGATCAAAGAAAACAAAAAACATAAAGTCATTTTGCTTAAGGACCAAAAGTTGTATATATTAAATGATCCAATTGGTCATCCTTGCATCTATATTGAACTTGTCAATAGGAGTAAATATGACAATTTCCGATGTTGCTTATAGTTCATGATGATGTAGCATCTTCAATGTCTTGGTTGTCTTTCTTGAGCAATGATATGTTCTTATTGTCATTTATTGCAAATTGAATCATAATCAATTTGACACTAATTACTAATCACATTAAAAAAAAAAATTATTAAAAACTATTAATATTCTTTTTTCAAAGAAGAAGAAACAACAATCCCTAACTACTTTGTGACAATTAATCTGTTATTATAGGTTTGTATCTTGCAATGAAATTGTCACCATAAAGAGCCATAAACCATGTTATTTTTACAATGGATACCTTTGAATAAACATATCTGTTCTTTTAAGAACTAACAAAAACTAGTTACATAATTTAGAGCTCAATTTCCATGTAGTGGAAGTACATGGCAATCAGATCTTCCAAAACTTGTTGGGGGACTCGAGCATTCATGGGGGTCGAAAAATTCTCCTTAGGAAATCAGAGTTTATTAAGCTTATCAAGTTCCAGTGTTCTTTCTTGTTTTATGAACCTCACCCTTAATTTCAACGTTCTTTATTGTCTAAATAAGGCAGTCCAGAATGTGCTTAACAGTATGTTTATCGAGGATATTTAAGTCACAGTAAGTATTGATACAGTAATACTGGCCGGAGCAGTGACGACTTGAGCAAGCATTCAACACACATACTGATCTTAGCATTTCAACACAGCCAGTGTTGTTCCTAGTGTTTCACCTGGAGCCTCCATCGCTTAAAGAACACTGCATACTCACGTTCAATTAGTTAGATGACAAACCAAATCAAGTGGCTATTCAGATGCATGAGAATCAGATCACAGAACGCCTAAATCAAATCCAGGCCTAATGTTATGCCAACAAGGCTGTCTACTGGAAGGTTGCAAAATGCCCATTCCAGAGATAGATGAAAAAATGTTTGTTCTTCAACTTTAAAAATTATGCATTCATCTGTGGATGTAGATAATTTGTACAAGACAAAAACATGGTGAGATTACATCCGAAGATTCAACCCTAGTATGACTAACTTGTGCTCTCTTAATCTAAAATTTGGCTCAAGCTTGATTATCATGACTGGTGATATCATATTGGCTCCGTCGAAGTCACTTGTAACATATTGTTTATGCACTGTGATGACCTAATAATGACATAGCTTAAATTCTGAGGAGGAAGTGTAAGTGTTGACAACCTTTCAATAAGAAGAACTGATTTACTAAGGGTCTCAATCACATCTAAAACACTTGCATCGTGCTCTTTGGAATCAATGTATGATCACAGTCAAGAATCATGGGTATCCTGCCATAACACGCAACGCCCAAACTTTTTCTTCATTCTAAGATAAACATCTACATACCTAAATTCACGCTGTTCACATTGCAAGGTTACACAACTCGCACCCAATTCTTCGCTCCGCTCCAGATGGATCAAGTTCACAGACGGCATTCATGACTCCGCCACTTGCACCACAACATCATAGTGACAGAATTTTCATTCTACAATATAAGCCCCAAGCGAGAGAACTGCAAATCTACGATGGTGTGTGGACTCTGGGATGGTGTGAGCACTCTGCACAGTTTAAATAAGAGGGCCTTGTCATGAATTGCGAATCATGAATTGTTTATGAATGAATCGGGAGTTGTAACAGTGTGCTACATCCTGAAACTGTTTCTTACCGGTTTGACAAACGTGTCAAACTGATTAAGTCGGTTCACCGGAACCTGATTCAACCAGTTTGGTTAAAACTGCTGCCATACCTAGTTGTGAGTATGGTGTGGTCAAGTTTAGCAATGTAGGCCGGCTCATTGTAACCCATGAAACCATTATTTACATCTTAATATAACTTAATTCAAATTGTATTAGATCTAATTGAATCTTGCTTAAGTTTGAAGATAATCATTAGATTTTGTAGTTTAATTCTAGTAGCTTCTATGTACAACAAATCAGCTTTAATTTATTTTAACACATTCTAATTTAAACCAAATTAAAGTAACATGATGTTCAATTTATAGTAGATTTTTGTTAAACCTAAATCTATTCTTAACATGATTTTAATTTTAATGTATGTTGTTTTGTGATTATAGATGAAATTTCATCACATCTGTAAATTATTATAATTATTCCAATATTTTGTTCTAAAATAATCTTTTTTAATATGTAATTAAATTTAAATAAAATAGATTAAAAACTAGACCACTAATTAGCTACATGTTGTACATATTGGCCACTTGTGGTATAAGTTAGCCATATGGCACATATATAAGAAATTTGTCTTATAAGCTAGACATATATCTTGTAAGTTAGATGCATATTAAAGGTTTTATAAAATATATATGTAAAGGTAAGACTAAAGGCTTTGTTATTCTTATTAACCTTTTTCTTGCTTCTAGTCTAGTTTCAAGAGTTTATAGCTTTCTTGTATTTAACAATGGCCATTTTAATTTCTTCTTAAATATACTTATTTTTTTAATTTCATAATAAATGTCTTACAAAAATTGACATAATACAAGATTAGAGTTGTTGTAAAAGTTGTCTTCAAAGCTTCAAATATTAATTCAACTTCTTTGTTCCAATCAAGTTTGTTTTTACAAGTTAGACTTGTAAGTAGAGTTGCAACTTATAAAAAATTTATTATAAAGATTCAATAGTAATTAATAAATTCTAAAAAATATTGAATGTTTCTTATTATTTTTAAAACCATTTAATCCATGATAGTTTGAACTTTCTTAGAATCCATCATAAAGCCATTATTTGAAATGATATATCCTAAAAACTCAACACAAGTTATATAAAATAGATACTTTTTAATCTTATCATATAGTCTTATATATTTAAGTTTTTGTAATATACAACAAATATGAAGTTTATTCTCTTCTATGTTTTTAGAATAGATTAAAATATTTTTAAAATAATAAATAAAAAATCATCTAAAAACTCTAAAAATAGAATAATTTTATAGATAACATCTTTACAAGACAAAAGATGAGCATATAAATATATATATATAAATATATATATATATGAGCTTAGTTTTTTTTTTATTAAAGTTATTTTATGTTTTTTTAATATATTTTTTATTTAAAAAATAAGTTGAGGTTTTGAATCTAATAAGAAAAAGGCTTTTGATTTTTAGGTCTTAAAAAGAATAATCAATCATAAAAGAAGATGAGGGTTTTAAAAAAAGAATAAAACTTTTACTTGGTATTGTACAAGATTCCAATTGCACAATTTTTATTGTAATTAGATAAATTTATTTTTTAATATATTATCTTTTTTGATAATTATACTTCTAATTTTGTGGTTGTATTTTTATTTTTGACAACTTGGAGTAGTATGATTAGATTCTCTATGATATAAGCACAATTCTTCTTAACAATAATAATTTTTTTCTTGCTTGGTATAAATTTTAAAATGTATTGCATCAATTTGTATAGGTTCTAATCTTAATGAATAATTTTTTAAAACTTAGGA